AGCTAAAAAAATCTCTAGTTAAACCTCCTAAGACTTTTCAATTTCAAATAATTAAACAATGTTAGCATGTACGACATAATAAGATGTAATTATAAGTGATCTAAGCATAAACAATAGTAATAAAGAAGTGAAAATAAAAAATATTAGTTAGTATGTTTATTAAAGGGTTTGTTTTGCAAAATAAGATTAAATCTTAATCATTTGTAAAAGAAATTAAGCATACTTATATGACATTTAGAACCTTGAATAAATTAAGCTAATTAATAATGCTACAATAAATGGTTTACCAACAAAAATTTTATTTTTAGAAGAGACTTAATAAATCATAGCATTTTATACAAAATTTATTACTCTCCAAAATATAGATAATTTAGAAGACTGTAAAATAATATAAAGATCATAATAATATAATATATCTACTTATTTATTAACATTAAATAATAATTATTTTGGAATTAGTTATAATAATGAAATAATCAACTTTTTACCTTTATCTTAGTCAATCTAAGTGTAATTATTTCAAAAATATGGTACATTCAAGTACAAAGGTTTTGCACAATCTGAAAGTTTGATGATAGTGATAACTGTTGATTTGGAAATATTTAAAATAGATCCAAAAAATTAATTAATAGTTAAGATCGGAAGTTTAAAAGAATATGGAGAAATGTATCACTTAGAATTAAATATTTAATAAACAAAACTATTATTAGCAATTAAAATTAAAGATAAGAATACAGAAAGATTAGAATTAATAGACTTTAAATCAATGAAAACAATTTAATGTTTGGAATAATATGATGTAAGTGTTCATTATTTTGAAAAAGCCTTTTTCTCTGAAGAAAGTTCTTATTTTGTTACAGCTTACTCAAATGTTACTATAAAATTATGGGATTTAAAAACATGTAAGCTTTTATCTACATTTAAAAGCAATACTGAAAGTATTGATTTAATTTCAATTTCAGGGAAAGGTATATTAGCTTAATCTGGAAAAGAAATCATTAGACTTTGGAATTTGAATGCTTTAAGATAATAATAATTAGAATTTGATGGTCACTAAACTTCAATTATCTTAGTTACAATATCATCAGATGGTTTATAATTGGCTTCAGGTTCTGTTTTTGAAATTATTAGATGGGATTTGACTAATTTTTAAAAGATTGATGTTTTATTAAAAAGTAAATAATTACCACCAAAATTTTGTTACTCATAAGATTGCTAATATTTTGCAGCTATAGATGATTAAGGTAGCATAAGATTATGGAAAATAAATACAAAATATTTAATTGATAACACTTATGTTATTTGTTATTATTAAAAAGCATATGATATTTAATTCAATTATAAGTGTAATTCAATTATAGTTCTCTATAGTAATCATATTAAAATACAATGGGATTTATAACATAGAAAATTACTTGAATAATCTAACATTGATACATATAATTAAATTAAATAAAGACCTTCAATTGATATAAATCATTTATTTACATATGATTCAAAGTATTTAGTAACCTTTAGTCCTATTAAAATGATAGATTTAACTAATGAAAAATAAAAATTCATAATAGACGATACAATTCTTAACCAAAAAATTAAATTTATTGCAATTTCTCATAATAATCTAAAATTGGCTGTTCAAAATGAAAATTGTATTAATTTATGGTCTATTGAAGAAATGAAAATTCTTGCCTAATTAGCAAAAGGATTAGAAATCAGTTGTTGTTTAGCTTTTTCAATAAGTGATAAAGTTTTATTTTCATTAAATAAATAATTCATTGTCCAATTATGGGATGTAGATGGTCAATACATTATTATATCAGAAATTTCAATTGCTCCTAAAATAGATGATCCAATCTTTTCAGCATTCCTAGATAAAGCCATTTCATTTCCTTTGATTGAAGATAAATTTTTGGTTGTCTACTCTTTAAGTATTGGATACAATATCATTTAGTCCGATTATTTAAAAGCAAGTTATATTCCTGATAAAGAAAAAGTTTGGGATCTTAGTTTGGATTATTGTGCAAAATATTTTTAATCTGCCTTTTCTGAATAAAAACAATTATTAGCTGTATAATGGATGAGAGAATTTAAAATATTTGATACAAAATCTATGAAACTGTTTGTAACATTAGAACCAACTGTATTTGATAGATCAAATTACACATCTTTATTATCTTTTTCTAAAAGTGGTAAATACCTTTTGTCATTAAATTTGGATTAAACTATAAATATATGGAATCTAACTTCTTTATAAACAATATAAAAATATGCAAATGTTAAGTAAAACTTTATTGTTAAGGCTTTCATCTTTCTTGAAGATGAAGAAAACATTCTTATTTTAGGATTAGATAATCATATATATCATGATCATATTTCAAACTTCAATTTACAATATTCATTTTTAACTGAAGAAGTTTAAATTAAATTTCAATATGTAATCAAATAAATAAATCAATATTAAATGACATATTAAGAGAATGAACTCAAAATTCTTGATAAAGAATCTGGAAATTAAATTTACACTCTCAATAAATTTAGCTCAAAATTAAATACAGCCTCATTCTCTCCATGCTGTAGAATTATAATATTAGGTATGAAGGACGGATCAATATTATTTTATAAAATAGACTAAGAAACATTGGCCAAATATGGATTCCCAACTTTATGTAAAAGCATAAATAGATTTCCATTATTAATGGCACCCCATTGTTATTTTAATGAAGATACATTATTTAAGTCAAAAGAATGCGAAAATTTAACTAGACTTTTCGTTGAAAAAGGGGCAATAAACTCAATCATTTGATAAACATCCCACATTAAATTTTATGTATATTTTATAAAAAGAAAATCAAATTAAAATAAACAAAGTAATTAAACTATATTTTTGTTATAAATTTCATTGAGAATATTTAAATATATTTTATATATATATTAATTATTGAATGTTATCGATTATTATCATAAAAATGATAATATTATAAAGAACTTAATTGATAATATTCTCAATCCATATTCTATTAAGCTACTATATTATAAAGTTTATTAATCTATTAATATACAATTAAAAATAATTATTGGCAGCAATTTATTATATTTGAAAAATTCCCTAATCCTTTTTAAATATCATTTATGTATACTTTTTGATTCTATTCCATCATTTTTTTATTGTAAAATTCTTCAAATTTAATCAAAATGAAATTTTCTTTGGATCAAAATCATAAAAACTAATTCTCAAAATCAAATATTTTCTTTTCTATGTCTTTAAAAGTATGATAACTATCTCTATTATAATATGATGGTCTTGTGAAATAAAGTATTAATTTTGCAAAATTTAATAACTCTAATCTCTATGTAATATTTCTATTAATTCTTTTATTTCATAATACAAGAATTGTATTTTTAAATCACAAAGTAAATGTACTCGATATGGGAAACAACAGAGAAGTTGAGAAGTTTAAATTATTACCTTAGAATTTTAAATTATAGGAAAATTATTAATCAGAAAGATTATCTAAACATGTTCAATCACTTTAGAAACAAATTAAATAAAAAGTAAGATTTATACAAAGAGATTTACGTTTAAAAAGGCATAAAGGAGGATTCAAAATTAATCTCTGGTTAACTATCAAAAAATCTAGTTTTATATGAAAAGAATAAATATAAGTTTATTTGATTGATATTTAATAAGGATGTATATAGGGAAATAAGTAAAATAATCTATTTATTGAGATTTCAAGATAAAATTAAATGTCCTTATTTTGATAAAAAATAACTATAGTAAATTTATTCCATTAATAAATTTTACAATCAAAGATTTGATTGATTCAAATACAGATCAGATCAGATTAATACACAAAAAATGATATCAAACCTAATAATTTAATAAAAGAAACTCTAATATCATCGAAATACAAAAGGTATTTATATTCAAAGATGTAGGGTGAAGATAATTACAATATTTAATTTAATTATTAATTTAGATGAAATTTAAGAATAATGTGAATAATATTAGGAGAAATAATAAAGGATTAATTAAAAAAAAATATATTTATTATAATACTTAATTATTATTCATTAATATTAATTATTTTGAATAATGAAATAAATCAATAAACTGTTACATAAATTTTAGAATTTCTTAATTGTAGAAACTCTTTAGTCTTCAATAACTTTGATTTGCATAGAGTGAGTTTAACTATTTCAGAAATCAAAATTTATAGATATATACATATATAATATTTAAAAATAAACTGACAATTATAAAAAGTATTTTCTTGTATCCGAGGATTAATCAAATAAGTTCCATCATAAGGAATATAAATTTATAGTGTAGAAAGTATTTTAAGAAATTAATTTTTGTATTAACGTTTCGAAAGTTTTAAATAAATTTTCTCAAAATGGATTGAATCTTGCCCAAGCCCCTTTAGAATATAATTATTAAGCATTCACTTTGAAAATTAAACTTAGCTTTATAAAAATACAAGCATGTTCATACCTATTTTATTTGAACTTGGTTGAAAGAAAACCATAATTTATATTTTTAATTAAATTGCCAATAAGGGTAATCATGTGTCGTTAAACTTTTAACAGATTCTTGAACTACCCTACTTATAAAAAATTTAAGTAAAAATATGAATATTGAGATTAACATGATAGCTCAATTATGATGAATGAGAATTCTGAAAATTCTTCATAAATATTAACTTTGAATAAGTTAAATCAAAACAAAAAATTGAGATTTTTTTCAAAATTAGGAATAATATATAGACTAATAGATGATTTAAGATTGTTTAGATTAAACTTTTAATCTTGGAGTGAAAACTTGTAGGCTATATCACTTTTAATTAATTTTATATATATGAGTTATTATACCTATTAATTATAATTGTATCTTTTTATTAAAACATTAAGTTCATATAATACAAGATTGGTTTTGATGATAAACGCTAGTTTAAATTTTTCCAAATCCCAATAATTAAGATTATTATTTATACCTAACGATGAGTAACAGTGCTTAATAATATGATGAATCTTGCATAAAGATGAAAATTATAAAAACAGCATGGAGTACTAAAGAGGATAATTTACTTAAAAAAGGAATAAGAATGTGTGGAATGAATTGGATGGCAATTGCTGAATATGTACCTAATCGAAATCCAAACTAATGTGCTTAAAGATGGAAACGACTTTAAGGACAAAGGGTATTGAATTTAAATTAGATATTAGAGTAGAACCAATCAATTTTGGAAACCTGAAGAAGATTAATAATTGTTAAAACTTATTTCATAATTCGGCAAGAAGTGGTCTAAAATTGCTGAGATGTTCAAAAATAGAAATAGTAAACAATGTAGAAATCGATTCATTAACACACTTGATCCAAATTTAAAATAAATTAGCTTCACTCAAGAAGAAGACTAATTAATTTATGAAAAGTACTTAGAATGTGGTACTAGGTGGTCATAAATAGCTAAATTTTTAGTGGGTAGATCGGTAAAAATAAAATTTATTTTAGGATAACTAAATAAAGAATAGGTTTTATAATAGCATAAGAAGTTAGTACCTTCAAATTTAGAACCCATATTATTCAAAATAAACATTATCTGAGCCTAAAGAGTTACTCGAAAAAGTAAGAGAAGAACATTTAAGAATTATTGGAACTAATAATAAGGAAATAATAATAGAAGATCAAAATGATATGCAAACAAATGATCAAGATATATCCAGATATATTAATGAATAAAATTACTCAAATCTTGATGAAGAATTTTATTCTAATAGGGATTTTGAATATTTGAGTATGAATCGTGATAATATTGTATGAATTATTATTTTAAATTGAATTAATTATTATTTACATAAATAATACCCAAAATAGCTTTCAGAATAAATATTTTAGTTTATATTTATGATTAAAAATCAAAGTTAAAAATTTCATTGATGATGAAATTAGTTTAATTATTTATTTTTTAAGTTTCATTCTTTTTTAATTATTATAGATTATTCACAAAATTATGTATATATATATATATATTGATTGTAAAATTATAAATCAATAACTGATGGAAGTTCTATTTTTTTCATAATATCAATTTATTAAAATATAAATTGTATCTTATATATTCGAACTATTATATCAAACTATAATCACTAAATATAAGTAATTTTAGAAAATATTGGTATTGGTAAAGTCAAATTATAAACTCCAATCCAAATTGGATTTCAAATATCTTTGTTCTCATATTGATAAAGTTATATAATTTATCTTATTCTTAAAGATCTGATCTTCAATGCATTTAAAATTATTCAAATTATGTCTTTATTTGCTTAAAGTTATTTTATCTAACACAAATAATTTATCATTTTCTATGATAATTTTAATCAAATAAATTATGTTTTTAATTATTCTAAAAAAGCTTAATTTATAAACAAATTAAAATAATCCTTGATGATGGATAAAATGGATGACAGAAAAAGAAGAGAAAGGGAGGAACAAAGTTTTTGACAAAAAGTTCTATTAATCATTCAGCTTTATTTATTTTAAAGGAAGAGGATAAATAGTGTGGAGAATGGCAAGAAAATTAAAATATAGAAACAATTAGTTTTTAACAAAATGATAAAATATAATTCTACATATTTTTGTTACATATCGAACACATCACTAAAGGCGAAATATAAAGATGAAAGTTATTTTCTAATCTACTTTCACTTAATAAGATATTCATAACAATTTGTCTTAGCCTATTGTAGGATTTAAGAATTTAAATATAATACTTAAAGGGAATTATAAATACAGAATCACCATGTCAGTCTAATTAGAAATGCTTTCAGTCATAGACTTTAACACAAAATAACTTGAAAAAAAAATAATATTAATTTTTATCAATTATTGACATTATATAATTTTTTGATATTTTGCCAAAATAGAAAAATAATATAATAAAGAGTAATAATATAGAACTTCCATTATTAAACATCTTAAAATTCAATTAGTGAGTCTCTTATAAAATCTATTTCTATTTGATCCAAGTTAATCTTATATTAATAATTTGAATTTTCTAATTATTGAAATTTGGTTGTATTTTTGACAAAGAATTCTATCTACAGAAACAAATTTTTAAACTTTGATTATGCTAAATTATTCTGTCATTTATTACAGATGATGAATTATATTTTCAATCATCTCGAGATTCAGATAAAATTTTCTTAGATGTTATGCATTCAGAATTACCAAAATAATCCCAAGCCTATTTAGTAAAATATTATTGAATTAGAAGGATTCTAATAAATAAGATTAATTCATAATGAAAATAAACAAAATTGACATGAATTATCTAATACATAATAATAATCAATTCTGTGAATTTGTCTTCTATTAAACTTATTTATTTTATATTAAATATATTCTTAATCAAATATTCTTTAAAAAAATCTAAAAAGAATATTTTTATTAAATAAATGAATTAGATATGTAAATATGACTTTTAACTTAATTTTAGGCACAGGCAGATATATGCAAAATTAATTATTTAAGGATGCGATTTATAATATTGGCTTGCTTCTTAAATTTAGTAGCCTTTTGAGATAAATTGAAAAATAAAATGTCTAAAAGGTTATGTGTAAAAAAAAATAGAACAAAAAAGCACTAAATCTTTAACAAATTTGTAAGCTTAAGAAAGCAGTCTCACTAAATAATAGAAGGGAAAATTAGTAAAATGGACAATTAAATTAAGCTTAATAGAATAAGATTGAAAATTCAACTTAATATTACAACCAAGGTAAATTTAAACATGCATTATTTTGAAGCAATTGCTTTATAATATATAAATGATTTTGAAGAGGCATTACAATATTATGGATTAGATACTGAGATAAGCCCAAAAAATTCAGACTATTACAATCATAAAGGTATAAATTATTAAATTCATACATTTTTAAGCAATAAGTTTATAACAGATGAATAGATTTATAGAAGCATTAGATTGTTATGATTAGGCAATTCAATTAGATCCAGAAATTCCAATATTTAAATTCAACAAAGGTATATTTTTTTTATAATAATCTATCTTAGCGAATGCTTTATATCAAATGAAAAAATATGAAGAAGCATTAAAATTTTATGATGAAGCAATTGAATTATATGAAGATTCAAGATATTTCATTAACAAAGGTAAAAGAGATAAATTAATATTCTTTTTTTAGCAAATACATTAAAAGAAATGAAAAGATATGAAGATGCATTAGTATGTTTTGATAAGGCAATTGAGTAAGATCCAGAAGATATAGATTCTATATGTTGTAAAGGTAAAAAAGATATAATAATGCTATTTTAGCTAATACATTATGTGAAATGAAAAGATATGAGGAGGCATTAAAATATTTTGATCAAGCAATTAGGAAAAATCCAGAAGATTCAATCTATTTCTTCAACAAAGGTAAAATAAAAATAATCTTTCTTTTTAGCAAATGTCTTATAATCAATGAATAGATTTGAAGAATCATTAGATTTTTTTGATAAGGCGATTGAAAAAGAAAAAGAAGATTCAAGATATTTCAATTGCAAAGGTTTAAAATAACTTATTAAACATAAGGAATTACTTTATATCATATGAGTAGATTTGAGGATGCATTAATATGTTTTAATCAAGCAATTAAGAAAAACCCATAGGATTCAAGATAATATGCAAATAAAGGTATAAGGTTACAATTAAATTATCTTAGCAAGTGCCTTAAAATAAATGAAAAGATATGTAGAAGCATTAGATAATATAGAAAATGCAATTAAGTATAACCCAGAAGATATAGAAATATTATGTTATAAAGGTAATTGATAGTATTTCTCAAACTTAGCTAATATCTTAAGAGAGATGAAAAAATTTGAAGAAGCATTAGAATGTTTTGATTATGCAATTTAATAAAATTCAGATGATTCAAGACATTTTAATAGTAAAGGTAGAAATGTTTTATTTCTTAGCAATCATCTTAAATGAAATAAAAAGATATGAAGATGCATTAAAATTTTATGATTATGCAATTTAGAAAAACCCTGAGGAGCCTAACTATTTCTTTAACAAAGGTATGAAATAGACTCAATTATTTAATTTAGCAAATAATTTAGCTGATATGAAAAGATATAATGATGCATTGGAATATTATGATTATGCAATTTAAAGAAACTCTTAAGATGCAAGATACTATATAAATAAAGGTAAAAAATTATTTTAGTTTTAGCAAATATTTTAAAACTATTGAAGAGATATGAAGACGCATTAAAATAATATGATTAGGCAATTGAGTATAACCCCGAGGATCCAATTTATTTCTATCACAAAGGTATAAAAGTAGTTATGCTTAGCTAATACATTAACTGAAATGAAAAGATTTAATGATGCATTGGAATATTACGATTATGCAATCAAAAGAAACCCTGATGACGCAAGATATTATGTAGAAAAAGGTAAAAAAAATATTTCAATTTTAGCAAATATTTTAAAACTATTGAAGAAATATGAAGACTCATTAACATAATATGATCTTGCAATTTAAAATAATCCTGAGAACCCAATTTATTTTTATCACAAAGGTATAAAAGTAGTTATTCTGTTTAGCAAATACATTAGCTGATATGAAAAGATATAATGATGCATTGGAATATTATGATTATGCAATCAAAAGAAACCCAGACGATCCATCTTACTACTTTAATAAATGTATGGAAAAAATTTTTACTTTTATAGCAAAGATCTTAAGTTAAATTTATAAACATGAAGAAGCATTAAAACATTTAGATGTTGCAATTTAGAAAAACCCATAAGATCCAAATTATTTACTTCATAAAGGTATAGAAGAAAAATTTATAATTTCTTAGCTAATACCTTATCTGATATGAAAAGATATGTAGAAGCTTTAGAATGTATTGAAAATGCAATTTAAAAAAACCCCTAAGATTCAATTTATTACTTAAATAAAGGTATGAATTAATTAAAATATTTTTTCAGCAAATATTTTATTCTAAATGAACAAATTATAAGAAGCCTTAAAATACTATGATTATGCGATAGAAAAAAATCCAGATGATTCACAATATTATAATTATAAAGGTATAAAAACCACATTATTTTTAGCAATTAACTTAGAAAAGATGAAAAGATACGAAGAAGCCTTACGATATTTTGATAATGCGATTTAGAAAAATCCTGAAAATGCTAATTATTTAATTAACAAAGGTATTAATAGAAAAATTATTATTTATAAGCAAATACCTTATTTGAAATGAAAAAATATGAGGAAGCCTTAAAATATTATAATTTTGGTATTGAAAAAAACTCTGAAAATTCAAATTATTTAGTTAACAAAGGTATTAACAGAAAAATTATTATTTTATTAGCAAATACCTTATTTCAAATGAAAAGATATGAAGAAGCATTAAAATATTATAATTAGGGGATTGAATAAAATCCAAACGATTCCACATTTTATTATAACAAAGGTATAAATAAAACAATTTTTCTTTTTCAGCAAATTGCTTATTTGAAATCAAAAAATACGAAGAAGCATTAAAATATTTTGATTTTGCTATACAAAAAATCCCTGAAGAATCGGGTTATTTCGGTAATAAAGGTAGATTAAAAACAATTATTATTCCTAGCATTAACTTTAATTGAATTGAAAAGATTTGATGAAGCATTAAAAAATTTTGATTTAGCAATTTAGTTTGATCCTGAAAATCCAAAAAATTTCTTTGATAAAGGTATAAGCAAAAAATAACTTACTTAGCAAACCTTCTAAAGTAAATGAAACGCTTTTAAGAGGCATTAAAATATTATGAATTTGCAATTTAGAAAAATCCAAAAGATTCAGCCTACTATTTTTGCAAAGGTATACAANTAAATTTATAAACATGAAGAAGCATTAAAACATTTAGATGTTGCAATTTAGAAAAACCCATAAGATCCAAATTATTTACTTCATAAAGGTATAGAAGAAAAATTTATAATTTCTTAGCTAATACCTTATCTGATATGAAAAGATATGTAGAAGCTTTAGAATGTATTGAAAATGCAATTTAAAAAAACCCCTAAGATTCAATTTATTACTTAAATAAAGGTATGAATTAATTAAAATATTTTTTCAGCAAATATTTTATTCTAAATGAACAAATTATAAGAAGCCTTAAAATACTATGATTATGCGATAGAAAAAAATCCAGATGATTCACAATATTATAATTATAAAGGTATAAAAACCACATTATTTTTAGCAATTAACTTAGAAAAGATGAAAAGATACGAAGAAGCCTTACGATATTTTGATAATGCGATTTAGAAAAATCCTGAAAATGCTAATTATTTAATTAACAAAGGTATTAATAGAAAAATTATTATTTATAAGCAAATACCTTATTTGAAATGAAAAAATATGAGGAAGCCTTAAAATATTATAATTTTGGTATTGAAAAAAACTCTGAAAATTCAAATTATTTAGTTAACAAAGGTATTAACAGAAAAATTATTATTTTATTAGCAAATACCTTATTTCAAATGAAAAGATATGAAGAAGCATTAAAATATTATAATTAGGGGATTGAATAAAATCCAAACGATTCCACATTTTATTATAACAAAGGTATAAATAAAACAATTTTTCTTTTTCAGCAAATTGCTTATTTGAAATCAAAAAATACGAAGAAGCATTAAAATATTTTGATTTTGCTATACAAAAAATCCCTGAAGAATCGGGTTATTTCGGTAATAAAGGTAGATTAAAAACAATTATTATTCCTAGCATTAACTTTAATTGAATTGAAAAGATTTGATGAAGCATTAAAAAATTTTGATTTAGCAATTTAGTTTGATCCTGAAAATCCAAAAAATTTCTTTGATAAAGGTATAAGCAAAAAATAACTTACTTAGCAAACCTTCTAAAGTAAATGAAACGCTTTTAAGAGGCATTAAAATATTATGAATTTGCAATTTAGAAAAATCCAAAAGATTCAGCCTACTATTTTTGCAAAGGTATACAATTAAAAAATAATATTTTCTAGCATTAACTTTATTTGAAATGAAAAGATTTGAAGAAGCTTTAAAATATTTTGATTTTGCAATTGAAAAAAACTCAGAGAATTCCACTTATTATTTTAAAAAAGGTACTAAAGAAAAAAAATCACTTTAGCGATTACCTTAAATGAAATGAAAAGAAATGTAGAGGCATTAAAATATTTTGATTTGACTATTTAGAAGAACCCATAAGATGTTCAATGTTTGTTTCACAAAGGTATAAAAGATGAACTAATTTATTCAAGGATAAACATTACTTGAAATGTTAAGAATTAAAGAAGCAATTGAATGCTTTGATTATGCATTTTCGAAAACCCCATAAGATTCCAATTATTCCCAAAGCACAGGTATGCAAGATACAATATTATTTATAGAGTTTGCAATTTTTAAAGAACTTGTTAAGAACCTTAAATAGTATTAAAAGTAATTCAATAAATGATGAAATTAGTATTATTAAATAATTTATAATAATAATAAAATTATGACAAAATATACTTTTTTGAAATTTCTTGAATTGTGCTAAGTTTCAACTGATGCTATTTTATTTGAGATATATGTCATAACCGCAATTTGAGCTAAACTTGTTCTTGTTCTAGCTTTTTGTGCCCTGAAGAGGGGAACTTTGAATAACAAGAAATCCATTACATTTCTGTTATTATATAAGGAAACCTTACACAAAGAGGATATTGAAAACACTATCCTCGAATTTGTAGACCTCACTCAACAACCTTTGAAGTATTGTGTATTTTTTAAGAGATAAGAACATTAAATTCTCTACTGAAATTTTAGAATGCGGAAAATACAGCTGATTGATTTATCACACTGCTATAAAAACTTAACTTAAAGCACTAATTCATGGTCCTTGTTATAAAGTTATCCACACACTGGATGCTTACTTAGATCAATTTTTTATATATCTTTGAAACACTATTCGAAGTTTTTAGGCATTTTTTGTCACTATGAAGGGCATTAAATTAAAAATTGGTTATTTAAGATTTTATCCAAAAAGATATAAGCAAAACAAAAGAGTTAAATAAAATACTAATTACGAATTAGAATGAAAATTTATCTTCTTCTACTTTTTTTATACTAATAAATAAAGAAGTAATTTTGGTTTGATGTTGATTTTGAGCTTTTTTCTATTTCTAAGCTTCCCTAAAATAACAGAATTAAAAAAATAAATTAGAATTCAAATTGGGATTATTGAGCAAAAAGTTCACATTTATAGATTTAATTATTAAGGAGTATATGGAATCTGGAAATTCTATTAATTTAATTTTCTAATCGCATTTGCTTCCTATTTTCATTCCAATTGTAGTGCAATTTATACATCCAATTTTTATTGGGACATTATTGCAAATTTTTTAATTGATTTTTTAAAGATAGGAAAGTTGAAAATAATTGTGGGTCAATGTTGTTGTTAGATGTTTTGGATTTAATATTAATATGATTGGATTTTTTGCATAAATTGTTGGTCTCTTTATTTTTTTAAATTTGAATAATGATGATATGGCTATGTTTTCTTAAGGAATATTACTACTAGCTACATATAATGATGGATTATAATTAGGGTTAAGGTAGATGATTAATGTTGCCACTCAGATGAATTCATATAATAGAATTTTTGAAATTATTGATATCCCAACAGAAGCACCTCATATTTAATAGGAAGATAAAAAATTTAATAAATTCCCTTTAAATGGGGATATAGTATCTGAAAATGTTTATATGAGATACAGAGCTAATTCTGATTTGATTCTAAAGGGTATTTCTTTTATAATATAAAAAGGTGCTGGTAAAAGCTCAATATTATATGCAATATTTAGAATGTCAGAAATAGAGGATGATGAGGATTCTTTTATTCAATATCAAGTGTTGAAATTAAAAATTTAGGGTTAAGAAAACTAAGAAGTAGCGTTTGAATAATATCATAATGTCCATTCTTATTTACAGGAACTGTCAAAAGTAATCTAGATCCTTTTGAAGAAAACAATGATGAAAGTATTTTGAAAGCATTAGAAATTACTGGTCTTTTATAAAATATTAAATAATTTCCAAAAGGAATACTAACTGATATTTCAGATTTCAACTCTGTTTTATCTATTGGATAAAAATAATTAATATGTTTGACACGTATACTTTTATCAAAAATGAAGATTTTTGTTTTAGATAAGCAACAGCTAATTTAGAATGAAAAACAGATGATTTAAAAATAACTAAAAGATTGTACTTTAATAACCATAGCTCATAGATTGAATAAAATAACAGATTATGATAAAATTATGGTCATTTATGATGAAAGAGTTATTGAATGCGATAGAAAATTTAATCTATTAGCAAAATCACCTAATTCAACTTTTATTGATAGAAATTTAGAATTTTCAAGGCTTTTTAAGAATACTGGAAATTCGAATGCTTATGCTATCTTCGATATTGCGAAAATACAATTGAGTATAATAGAAAATTGATCTTATTTTGTAAAAATGTAATTATTAGTATTATAATTTTATTATTAACAACAGCATAAGTTTGTTAATGCTTTTTTATTATTAATATTAATACTTTATTATTGTTTAAATATAATACATAATTTCTTTCAATAAACTTAGACTGAAATAGTCTAAATAAATATATATAAATAATTGATTTTATGGTGAATTTAAAATTATCAATTTTGAGGTTTAAATTATAACAATTAACATTTACAGTAGACGTATAGAATTTCAGGTTTCATGTTTGACAAATTAATTATATTCTAATCCTAATCACTAATTAAATTTATGTAATTCAAGATTCTACATTCTAAACTATTTATAATATATTTTATTAGATTTGATAGTAAAATTTAAAAAGATGAAAATTAAACAATAAAAATTAATTGATATTATTTTATGCTAAATAAACTTATGGTAGTTCCTTTAAAATATTATTCATTTTAATTATTAGTACGAATTATCACTTAAAAATTTTGAATCAATCTCTTATCAACTGAAATCATTATGAATATTTAGGAGTAATGAGTAATGCTTGATTAAGTATAACAAATAATCTTAAATAGAATAAAAATAACAATCATCTGATTGAAGAAAATAAGTAAAGAGATAAAAAAAATAATCTTTTAATTAAGACTTCAGTTGAAACTATTTAGGGGGAATTTAATAATTTATGCTATGCAATTTAATAAATGAGTTTTATTATTTTGAGAAAAAGCTTAAAAATAATATATTAATTATTTTAGAAATAATTTTTAAGAACTCTTAAAAATTTATTTTTAGAACAATTGATAAACTCATAAAATTTTTATATCGATTTTTAATTTTCTTTTTCCAACAAAAATATTAGTCTTATTTAACTTTGATCTGTTTAGGCACAGCTATATTTATATCTGGAAGAAATATTGATATGATACAAAATATTTAAAAATAAACTGACAATTATAAATAAGGTTTTCTTGTAAATTGTCTTGATTTAATTTTTATTAATATGATTATTAATGGATTTGATAATTAAATGTCTTTTTAATTTATTTTTTATATCTCTTAATATAAGCATTAAATCGAGAATTCCATTTAATTACTTAAATGTAAGAGAATAAAAACCAAATCATCATCAACTTTAAGATTATCAATTATTTGAGAATAAAATATTAAAAAAAATAAATACTAGAATTTACGTTTAAATTTTTTTAAATAACAAATTTCTAAATGTAAGCTCTAACAATAAAGTTCTTTACAATTTAATCATTAGATTCTTGCCTTGGAGAAGAAAACAAAATTTAGGAATAACCAATCGCGAACATAAAAATTTCTTATTTATTTCAAAAAAACCATAATTAATTTTATAATTAAATTGTATATTAAAAATAACAGATCTTCTAAAACTTAAATAAGATCTAGAAATACCATAACAATCTTAATTTCAAGTAAAATATATTGATATTTTATACTAAATTCTACTAAAAATCATAAGGTAATAATTAATATTAGTTTCTAATAAGGTAGATCAAGCAAGAAATTTGAGAGAATATATATATTTAATTATAATGAAAGACTAATCTGAGGTCAAGAAATTACAGCAAACGCAAACAACTGGCTCTAATATTTATTAAGATAGTTGTATATTCTGATCATTAACATATTTATATTTTATTAATAATATTTATTAATATGAAAAATAATTATAAATTTGTATCTTATTATCAAAACAATGAGTTCATACATTTTAAGATTGATTTGATCATAAACGCTAGTTTAAATTTTTTCGAATCCCAATAATAAAGATTATTATTTATACCTAACGATGAGCCTCAGAGTTTAAAAAGAAGATGAATCTTGTTTGGAGAAAAAAATTATCAAAACAGCATGGAATACTAAAGAAGATAATTTACTCAAAAAAGGAATCAGAATGTGTGGAACGAATTGGATAGCAATAGCTTAATATTTACCTAACAGAAATCCTAACTAATGTGCACAAAGATGGAAAAGACTTTAAGGACACAGGGTATTTTTTTTAACTTAGATATTAGAGTAGAACAAATTAATTTTGGAAACCAGAGGAAGATTAATAATTGTTAAATCTTATTTCATAATTCGGCAAGAAGTGGTCGAAAATAGCTTAGATTCTCATAAATAGAAACAGCAAATAATGTCGAAATCGATTCGTTAATACACTTGATCCAAAGTTAAAATAGCATAGCTTTACTCAACAAGAAGACTAATTAATCTATGAAAAGTACATATAATATGGTTCTAAGTGGTCGTTTATATCGAAATTTATCGAGGGTAGATCGGTACTATAATTATTTATTAAAGGATAACTAAATAAAGAACAGATTCTATAATAACATAAGGAGTTAGTACCTTCAGGTTTAAAACCCATATTATTCAAAATAAACATTATCTGAGCCTAAAGAGTTACTCGAAAAAGTAAGAGAAGAACATTTAAGAAATAATGGAACTTTTTAAAATTTAGAAAAAATAAAAGATCAGAATGACCATTAAACAAAGGGGGAAGAATTATTCATGTATGCCAATGAATATAATTACTCAAATCCTGATTAAGAATTTTATTCAGATATGGATTTTGAATTTTTGAGTCAAAGTCATAAGAACATATTCTGAATTACAAGATAATTTTATTAATTATAAATTTATTTTTAATAATTTTTCGTAGTAAATCATACCCAAAAACTTATCATACTCACTTTTTTAATAATGTTAATAAATGAGGATAAATACAAGTAAGACAATTGTTATATTTATGTCCTAATTAACTCGATTATAACTTTAAGGTAGTTTGTGATGGAAAGAAATTTTATTTATGGCTACCTTCAATTTAAATAGTAGTTTGAAGCAAATTCTCATATTATTCTGAAAAAGTTCGATTATTCAAACAAATTATTATATTATTTTTTTAATTATATTTTAGTAACTAATTTATGTATATTCTATTTTTCTCCATTTTTTTCTAATTATTAAATTAAATTATATAATTAATATATTACCTATGAATTTAATGATATATCTATGCTCTTAAGATTTACTAAAAAATGATGCAATCTGTTTTCAATAATACTATTAAAAATTATTAATCACAAATCTACAATTTCAAAATATAAACTCTCTTAGATAATATCTCAAAAAATATAACTTTAACAATGATGTTATTGGTTACATCTTCTCTTCTAATATCTATATATCATTATCAATTGCAAAAACAATTAACATAATTCTTATCAAATTACTTTCATATAAAATCTTTACTTTCATTATTTTATTCCAATTTATATTAAATTATATAAATAATAATTCTTATTCAAAATTAATGATTAAAATTTTTTCAATTAATTTCTCAAAGCATTGGCACTAATATTATATTCTTTATTTCAAATTATTAAAATAATATAACATTCTTATAAACTATATATATCTAATCCTGATTTATTGATGGATTGAGTAAAATAGTTTTTAAAATATTTAATTTAGAATTATATATTTGCATCTTGAATCTAAAAAATATTATATCCTATTTCGAAAAAATAAAGATCTATTCCAACTATAATTGCTAATTTAAATTATTTTCAATATTTATTATTAAAATTAATTTTTTATATTTATAAAAGAAATGATTAAAGAAGATTGCAAAATGTTATTTTATAAAGAATATTTAATGTTTTGTGTGAAATTAAAAGCATTATTCTTATAATATACAAAATAATTGGATTTAAACCTATACTTAATCAAATTTCGTAGTAACTGAATATTTGGACAATCATATTTCCTCCAAAGTGCTGGTAGTCAAAAAAGAGTTAGAAAGTATTATTATAAACAATAAAATATTAATAAATTTCGAAATTAGGATTTCTTACTTATTAAATAATTTTATGTATAATTAATATTAAAGTTTTCTCAGTAATATTAAGAAGATATATGAATAATTTTGGTTAACAGCTAGATTCATAAAAGTTAGATATCAAGAAAATCTTGAATAAGTTTACCTTAGATATCTTACGAAATATCTATTCATATTCATACATATTTAAATTCAAAATATAAGAGTTTTTAGGATCCTATGTTTATCTGATCTGTTCATTTTATTTAATTAGCATTAATGTAAGAGATGTTTTGAATAATATGGAATAATAATGAAAAAAATATCATCTAATTTTGTTCTTTATTATTACCCAAGTATTTTCAAAAAAAAAAAAAATCCTTGTAATAATAACAACTACTCCCTTCTACTTTAATAACAATTCTGATATAATTCATTTATTTTCTCTGTTTCTAAATATTTATTCTTTATATTATTAATTAAAATTGTTTTTAATCATTCATCATTCTATAAATGTGAATTAACCATAATTATATGTAAATTTGATTATATTTTCCTTAAGTTTATAAGAATGTTGAGTTAATTAATCAAATTGATATTTTTTAATCATCTTAAAAAAATTAATAGAATAATAAGTTTTCCTAATAATTATTGTATATTTTTATAACTCCTTAATGGCTTGATTTTAACTTCCTTTTTATTTCACTAAGCAATTTCAGTAGATAGATCACTCCTTCAACTTTTATTTTTATTTATCAGGTGCCGAGTGAGCACAAAATCAGTATTTGTATAATTCTATATAAGTGGAAAATTATTTATAATCTTAATTGAAGAAATAAATAGTATACTATATTCTTGAATTAATCAATCAAATTTCTTTTTATTAATTCATCTTATGTTATGGGAAAATATTAATTATACTATAAAATGGATTAATTGAAAGATTTAAGAGATATAGTAATTCTCTTAGTATTGATTTTTAAGTTAAAGTGATTAATTTAATGAAAGTGAAAAGAAAAAAAGAAAATAGATTGTATTCAACTTAAATTAAGAAAATAAAAATAAACTTTTTAATATAAGTGATATTTTAATATTAAATTTATTATTACTTCAATATTTTCAATTATGGTTTGACTTCATATAATATTTTTATTTGAATTGATTATATGTGGTTATTTAATCATTAGTAATATTTTAATAATTCTAGGAGGATGTAAAGGAATAATAATTCTCTAAGTAGGTTTAATTGATAATTTATCATTTCAATAGAATTTAGAGTTCTAATTATTGAATGTTATTGTTAAGTTGAGTTATAGTTCTAGTTGATTCATACTAATCTCTTCTTTCGAAGATCAACTCTAACTTATATAAAATTAAATATAATTCAAGTTTTAAAACATTTTAATATATAAAGCCTTTGTTACATACAGATTCTTAAATCATATTCTAATATATATATATATATTTTTTTTTTAAATGTGAGAAACTTATTGTCTTTAGAAATTTAAGCATAATTTCAAGCTCAGAAACCTAATTAATGAGTTTGTTCTTTTTGAAGGTCTCCAATAGAGTTAAAATGTTTTAAAAGGAAAATAAAAAAGCTCAAGATATTATTTTTCAATTATTCATATTGTTTATAAATTATTTAAAGTTTTTTTATTGGATAATAATCCTTCATCTTAACAGAAGTTTTGTTTTTATTAATGTTTTATTCTAATTTGAGTACTTAATAAGAAATCTTTCATACTATGAATGCATATTAGTTTTGATGACGTAATAATTAGCAATATTTAATTATAATGATGAATTTTTTTTTTAAATATAAAATAAACTTTCCATCAAACACCTATGAAAAATCTCTATCAGATTTTTCATATGATTGGCAATCTTCACAATTATTTATTTTTACACATAGACCAGTGCTTTTTTCTTTTGTATTATTTTAAAGTTTACAAATGCTACAGGTCATCAAAAAGCTGTTTTTACAATTATTCTAACATAATCAAACTTGTTTATATGACAAATAACGGTGTTTTTTATTTAGTATTTAATGTTATATAAGAATTTTGATAAGTTCACCTCAATCATAATTTTGAGCATCAAGCAAATCATTTTGATTATCTTAAGCGTATACTTTTTTTGAAAATATCAATAATATCTTATTTTTACTTTTTAATTTATGGTAAGAGTAATATCTCTTTCATTAATAATAATCGTTGCTTTTAAGACAACATACGAAGCAGTTTTCAAATTATAGCCAAATTACCCTATAGAAATATTTAAAATAAAGCCAAACTCCATAGAAATATATAATACATATTTTGGTATCTGGTGGAAATATCTTCCATTAAGTAATACTACTTAAATTGGAAATATTGGACTTCTAGATAGTAATTGCTTTCATTTTCTACATGCAAAAGAATCAATAACAGAAAGGATAAACTTTTTATATTATTTGTGTCTTGATTATGAGATAAAAACAGTATATACATACTTATAATTTATTGACAACACCGGTTTAGATCATTTTTATAAAATACAAATTAATGAAGAATTATTAGAGTCAATATGGCAGTATATTGGATTTTGTTTGATTCCATCTGAAAATAGATTCACTATTTTTTACAAATTCTCAGGATAACTGACAAAATCATTTGAAGTATTGATTAAATTCCCATTTTATGATGTTTCATTAAATTTAATTTATGGAGGTGGTTTAAAAGTAAATGATAACCAAAAACTTCAGACATCATTAAATAAAAAATTAGCATATTTTCCAGGAGAAATTTTGAGAGATGAGTATGTTTCTGCAATTAATATTTGTAAATTATCAAATTCTCAGATGCCAATTAATAATATTAATGGATGTTTATGTTCAGAAAATAATAATTCTACAATAGTTGATTCAATAATTGAAAAAGAATAACAATTTTTTTTTATTTCTGAATATTCAAATTGTGATGGATTTTTTTTATCAGGTTGGATTAAAATTGATGAAACTCTAATTTTTGAGAATGAATTTTATTATAAATTAATTAAACTATCTGGAAATTTTATTCAATAATAATTAATAGATGATAATTTGTCGGCTTTCACATTAACTTATAAAATAGGTTAGAATGGAAACTAGATTATTGTTACTACTTATAGTTATATATTCCCCTTAGTAAACATTGATTTTTCAAAAGATCCTAATTTAATTAAACATATTTTTGACGTTAATACTGATATAAAACGATGGCATTATTTGATAGCTTGGAAATAAGAGTCAACTATTTATTTTTCAATAACATTTTATGATAAATTTAATATAGAGAAACTAGAGTTCAACTAATAGGTGAAACAATTTGGTTCTATCAAATTTTAATTACATATAGGAAATATTTTATAATCTTCTCAATAATATTTAAAAATTAATTTAATAGGTTTCCAATTTTTTAATTGCCCATAAATATTTGATTAAATACAAAACTGCCATCCTACTTGCAAGGAATGTGATGGTCCAACTTAATATGACTGTTTATCTTGTTTTGAATCTTCAAATAGAATTTATGTTCCAAATTTTAACTAATGTATCTGTAAATATGGAACAATGGATTAAGATAATTTCTGCATTAATCATAAAAGCATCAACTTAATTATACTTCCTGATGAAGGGACTAATAATAAATGTAAATATGGTTATTATGAAAAAGATGGTACTTGTTAAAGATGGTATAATTTTATTATTATTATTATTTCTCTAGTCCCTCTACCATAAGTGATAATGTCATTACATGTCTTGAATGTCTATATAATACTAATGATTGGATAAATAATCTCATTTGTAAAACATCATTATAAACAGATAATGAAGGAAATATATATGAAAAACAAGAAATATCTATAAATTTTAATTTTCCTGCACCTGATGAATCATAATTAGATATTTGTCTTTTTGGTTGTGATAGTCAAGAAATAGAAATAACACCAATTCCATCTGACCTAATTATTCCTCATTTTATTTGCAGTGAGCCAGACTTTATCAATTTTGAATAAAAATGTACTTCTTGTCCTATAAAATAATGTTTATATTGCTTTAGTTATTTTGCAACTGATTTATCAAAAACAACTCTAGATTATAATTTTAATTATTCGACTATTGGTGAAGAAATTAAAATAGGATGCGCTTAATGTTTAAATGGTTTTATTTATAGCTTTGAATTAGAATAATGCATTTTTAAGAATCCTTCAAATCCAAATTGTCTCAGATCTTATGTTTAATAAGATGGATAAGAAATTTGTACTCTATCTGCAATAGATGATTTTAGCATAGCTCCAGCAATTATAAATTGTTAACAACGAATTTTAAATTGCAAACAATGTTTTTAAACACCAGAGTTGATATTAAAATGTTAGATTTGTGAAGATGGTTATGCTGCATTATCAAGTACAGGGATTTGCTCTGTATGTAACAAATTAAATACAAAAAGTTGCCTTGAATTAAATGCGAAAGAAAAAGAACCTTGGAAATGGTATATTCAGGATTTCAGAATTAAATTCCTTCATCTTAAAAATTTTGATAAAACTTATGTAGTAAGGTATGCTATATTTTCAATGGAATGTAAAGATGGATATCAAGTAATTGATTAAAATTGCTACAAATATTGTGACGATAATTGTTAAATATGCAAGAAAATTTTTTATTTTGGGTGGTATTTTTCCTGTTAAAAATGTGATACCAACTACTACAAAATACCTAATAGAGTTCAAATTGATGGTAAGTGTATTGAATGTCCTCCCTTATGTTAAATTTGTGAATAAAGATCAATAGAAGAAATTAAGGTATAATATAATTTATTAAAATAGTAAATTAATCCATATTTTATTTTAACTCCTGAAAATACTATTTACTCTTATAAGTGTTTAAAAAAGAATCCTTTACCACGAGCTACAATTGATTAATACTCATAATTTGCATACTTTTGTTTTAATGATGATTGCAATTAACTCTTTGAGTACTAGGTATTTGTTATTTAGAATTTAGGTTAATAAATCATGTGAGGGGTAGTCTTCAGTCTATAATTTCAATGATATAAAGCATTATTAATACTTTAATAGTATTGGTCTAAAAGAGATTACCTTAATCTTGCCTTTTAATCTTATTTGTCCTATTAAGAAATAGGAAAATTTTTAGATTGTAAATTATTTTAAAGAAAAAGTGTTTTCTATGTAATTAGTTAAATTGAGAATTGAGGCAGAGTTTCAATCTCTTATTTATGACACTTAACTTAAGATTTTATATTTTGATACAATTTTAATTAAAAAAGTGAAATTTCTTCTTTAAAAACTATTTGAATTGATAATTGATAACAGAGTTTAATCTATTAATTTAATGATTACAGACACTAGCTTTTATTCAAATCAATCAACACCAATAAAATTATAAATCTATGGAGGGAATTTTTTTAATTTTTAGTTATCTAATATTCATATTTTTGATATGAACATTCAAAATTCTATAATTTTTTAGATTACAAGTTAAGATTTAGGAGAAAGTATTAAGATAAATAATTTGCAAATTTCAAATTGTAAATTAAATAATACTACTTTGTTGTTTTTTTCAAATTTGAGTAGGAAAATTATTATTGATAATCTTATAATTAAGTCTTGTTAATTTTATACTTCATAAGTTATCTAATCAAATATTAGCTTAAATAATTTTGCATATATTACTATCAATAATATCGATATTCAGAACTCTTCTTTTTTAGAGTCAAGTTTTATATATAGTTATGGAAATTCTGATATAAAAATAACAAAATTTTAACTTATTAATTGTTAAATTAGTGCTTCAAGATTTATTTCTTTTAGTAAGAACTTTTACTTTAGTGATATTTTATTGGAGGATAATCTGATTTAAGAAACTTAATTGTTAATTTAATTATAATCAAATGAAAGAAATTCTAAAATTGGAATTGAAAATTTTATGATTTTAAAGAATAAAATTATAAACTCTGCAGTTGTCATTACTGGATAAAGTTTAGAGTAAAATGAAGTTTATTTTTAATTTTAGAATTTTAAATTTGAAGATAACATACAAGATTCTTAAGAAAATTACAAATATCTTTTTTAAATTAACTGTTATAACATTTTAATTAAAGATTTCATTTTAAAAAGTACTATTAATTTTAAATTTTTTTCTTTAATCTCCACACCTTATATTACATTTGAAAATATTATTTATGAAAACTAATTTTAAAAGGAAAAAGTTGCTTTTAAATTTGATTGCTACCAAAGCAGTGCAATAAAATCATAATTATTATCAGTTTAAGGGTTTTAGAGAATTAATTTGGAATAAATAAAAATATTAAATTAATTCAGTATAGATTTATCAATTATTTCAATACAATCTAATTCTAAAATTATTTTAAATACGATTGAATATGTAATCATACGTAATATATCTTTTATTGGAAATATACTTCTTAAATAAAATTAAACTATGTATTTTTCATTAATTGATATCTATTCTGAAATAACTGAAATTATTACTTTAGAAAATATCATCTATTAATATAATATTTTTCACTAATACTAAATTGATCCATCTTAAAATTCTGCTAGTCTAATGTAGATTAATGCAGGCTAAAGTAATTTATCACTGAAAAATATCATTAGTTCTCACAATGTCTTAACCAACTCTTCAATTACTTTTATCTCTATTTCTATACATGAACTGTATATATAAGACTTTTAAATAATAAATCATAATTACTTAGATGCTGACTTATGGAATTAATATTATTATCTATAAATTTAAAGTGAACTGACATAGAGCCAAATTATTTCTATAATCAATAATACATTTAAAATAGAATCAATAAGTGGAGTTCTATCAATTAAAACATCAAAATTGAATTTTATTAATGGGTTTTTCAGTAATATAATTGCATCAAGTAGTTTAATTTTCAATATTAATCTATAAGGTGATGGAATTGTTATTATAAAAAATTGCTATATTGAAAATGCTTAAAGTTAATTGATTTCAACATCTTAAGTTGATGGAGCAATTACTATTGATGCTAAAAAAAGCCTATTATCACTTGAAATTGAAAATTTAAACTTAAAATACATATAAAATAGAATATCATCATCTATATTTTCAATCTATCCATCATCTATAAAGAATAACATTTAATTAAAACAAATTTATGCTTATAATTGCTTTTCACTTTATAATCAATTTATATCTTTAGAGTTCAATTTTAATAATCCTCAAAAAAACCAATTTTCAATATATAATTTACATATAATTTAATCAGAAAATGAATTTATAAATTATTTATAATCTTTAGGAAAAGTAAGCATTTTGGAAATCTAAAATATTTTAGAAAATAATGCAATAATACATTTAACTGGAGGATAGTTTTCTCTTAAGGGAATCATAATTGAAGGATTAGTATTATCTTCAATTATCAAAATAATTGATTATCAATAAATCAAAATTACGGATTCTTAATTTTTTAATGTATCAACATTTTATCCATTGCATTTACTAGAATTTTCTTAGATTAATGAACTTTAATCAATTCTAATAATGAATAACATTTCAATAAGAAATGTAAATTCATTTTAGGTCAATAAATACCAATTAAATTACTCTTATAATAATCTAAATATAAGATATATCAATTAGTGTGCCTTAATAAGTGAATTTGTAAAAGTTATAAATGAAGGATTGGAGTCAACCAATAATTTTTTTGATCAGATCTAGCAGAACTCTTAACAAAAGGGTTCTTTGATTTATTTCAGGAGCATAACAAACTAAACTAAAATGATGATAAGAAAAATTTTAATTGAAAATAATGACTGTTAAAATTGTTGGAATGGTTTAATGTCTTTTGATTTGGCAGAAATAAAATTTATTAAAATTAATGAAATTTCATGTATAAGGAACTTCATTAAAAGACATGGATGTATTCTAGCAATATCAGAAAAAAATTTAGATAGAGAAATTAAAATTAAAAATTTAAACTTTATTTCAAATAATGGAACTAAAGGAACAGGAGTTTAAGTTTAAAATTTAAGAATTTCTATGCAAAATTCTAGAATAATTAATAATTTTGCATTTGACAGAGGAGGAGGAATTTATTTTAACCTAAATTCTAATAGATTTTTACTAAATTAAACCATAATTTGCTAGAATTCAGCTTAAGAAGGAGGTGGCATATTTCTGTAGGGAAATAGCAGTTTAAATCAAGAAAATTTTCTTAAATCACTTAATTTATATAATTCTGCTACTTTATCTTCAAATAATATAAATGAGTTACCTTCCCATTTAGGCTTATAGATTAATTATTAAGAAATGCATTCTATTGAATAGAAAATTGATAATTAATCAATTTATACTCTAGTACTAAACCCTTACAATATTTTATCTTAGAATAAAATTCAAAGAACAAATTATTTAACTCTACCAAGTGGTTAAGATTTATCTAATTTTCAACTATTTAATCCTAAAATTTTAAAATATATCTCATTCTTAAAAGAAATTTCTATAATATTTAAAAATAGTATGAATGAAAAATAATAAAACTTTCTTAATTCAACATGTAATGTAACTTAAAATGTATTTGATATTTAATCACAGTAAATATTAAAAACTAATCAATTGCAAAGTATATCCTTTAGTGCTGAAACAAATAGTTTTAATTTAAATCAAATATAGTTTAATTTTGACCCCTATTCATAGAATGATAAAATATTGGAATTAATGATTGGCTGCAAAACAGAATACTTAGAAAAAATCTTCTTTTATAAAATGAGAGTCAACATTTTCTTATGTTAATTAGGAGAATTTTATATACAGGATATTTGTTTAAAATGTTAATCAGATTAAGGATTTTATTCTGTAACCTATAATGCTACAAAATGCTCTATTTTTGATAAAAATAAATTTGAAGCCATTACTTCTAATTTAATTTAACTCAAACCTGGTTACTGGAGACCTAATTATATATCTGATAATATTGAACTCTGCTATAAAAACACTAATTAATGTTTGGGTGGCTGGTCTGTAGGTGATGAAACTTGCAATATAGAATATATCGGAGGTTTGTGTGAAGAGTGCGATAAATTTAATATTAAAGGAAATGGACAATTCTTTAAGAACTAATAGTAATTCGTTTGTTCAGAATGCTAAGAGCTTTCAAAAAGGTTATTTGCTTTCTTATTATTATCAATTTGGTAGGAATATTTAATAATTTTAGGGTTATGTTATCAACTTTTTTAACTATAAAAAGTGTTGAAAAATCAAATTTTTTAATTACATAGTTGAAATTAGGATAAAAATTTGCTGATATCTTATTTAACTTAAGCCAAGGTAAAATAAAATATTTATTTAGATCATGTAAGTATTTTACTTAAACTATATTTAAACTATTTATGGATATTTTCTCTGATCTTATCATTTAACATTAATTTTTCATTTTCTTTTAGTTTCATTAAATAATCTACTGACACCTCATTTTTTATGGCTAATTTTTTTGATTGCTTTTTATCTGAAATTGAGGGAATTGAACTGATATACAGTAGAATTATAGTGACCTTCTGTTTACTATTTTGTCAAATAATAATTATCTAAACTGGATCTTTACTATTATAATGTTTAATCTCATATAAACATAGAAGCAGAATTATTTCCATTACTGTTCTAAATTTATATATTTAGAATTACGCATCTATGATTACTTAGTAAATTTAATATTTAAAATTAGATTCTTTTCAATTTTAGCAGTTAGGGTGATTTCTTAAGTTAGTTATATATAAGGTGATGTATCATTACTATATGGAACAAATACTCATTATAAATGGATATTTAGATTTATCTTACCTGTATTAACATTAATAGGATTGATATTACCTTTATCATTATTTATTTTCCTTTATTCCAAAAAGTAACAGCTTAATTGTTTAAAGTATAAAAGACATTTTGGCCATTTATTTAATGAATATACTTAAAACAACTATTTTTGGGAATGGATAAGATTGTGGAATAAAACAATTATAATCATAATACTTATAAATTTTGAAACTCAAATATTATTGAAAGCTTCATTATTAGGATTTTGCTTATAAATTTACTAATTTTTTACTGAAAAATTTAAGCCTTACCTACTCAATAGATTTAATTCACTAGATCTAAAAACTACTTAGCTTTGTTCCTGTTCAATATTTTTAGCAGCTATAAAATACACATGTGATTAATCATATAATTATTCGATTTCAGCTATCCTTTAAATGATAATATTATTAATCAGCTTAAAATTGAGTTATCCTTTTGTTAGCGTTATTTTACATGCTTATTATAAAAGGTTTAAGCCAAATATTTTAGAACTTTTAATTGCTATTATATATTCCTATCGAAAAAATTCAAAAAGTATAAAATATTTAAGACAAAAACTTATTTAAATAAGATAACAAGAAAATAATATTAGATAAAATTTTCTTAGATTAAGATTAGCAGTTAAAAAACAAAAGTCACATGGAAATAAAAAGTAAATTTTTTATCGTATTTTAGTTCAAATATAAAAATTCATAGTAATAAATCAAAAAATTCTGTTGCAATTGATATTAAGTCAAAATTTGAAAAGTAAATTTGATTTTTTATTTAAATATCGCATCAAATTATAAATATTGAAAATATAATTATTTATGTTTGTTTTATAATTTCTATTTTTAATTGTATTAAATTATTCATATTAATATTATTTCAAAATTGGAATTTTTTTGAATTAAGAAATTCTAACGTAATAAGCATCATCATTGGAAGCAAACTTATTAAAGGAATATAGAGATTGAAAAAGGGAAAAATTATATTTGAAAATAAATTTAAACTATTTAGAAAACTTTTAAGGGTCTCATTTCATCCTCAAATTAAATATTTTATATCCTTTTTCTTAATTTTATAGGCCTGATAGAGAGGAGGAAAAATATCTCAACAAAAAAAACTGGAAAATTATTGGAAAAACAAAAATAACAATTAGCTATTAATTTGGAAAATTAATGATAGCTCAATTGTTTTGCATTTCATCTTCAGCCTGTTGCTTGGCTCTGTTCTGTGTTTTTTGAAGATGCATATTCTAAGATTAACTATAAAAGTATGAAGTCCAAAACATGATCGAGGAATGGATATAAAATATTAAGTTTTGCATAAAAATTTCAATTGAAGTACATACTTATAAGAAAAGATATAATAATTGAGCTATTTAATAATAAGCATTTATTTATGCTTAGAATTGTTAATTAAAACTTAGATATCTAATTGAAGTAGTTGAATACTTAAAGAAATAATTTATTTATGTACACCGTAAATTATTAAACACTGAACATCTGTTTAGATAATTAAATTACATAATATCTTATTTTCTGTTATTTATTTTTCATCTCAATAAAAGTATGCTAATAAAGAATAATAAAATTTATATTTAAATTAATGAACTTTTAAAATTAAAATACATTAATTGAATAAGAGTCAAACATATAGAAAAATTGCTATAAAGAAATTGAAGTAGAATACTGGGATTAACTTCAACATTATTTTGTAAAAGCAAAGATTTAAATTAATTTTTTAGAGAATAATTATATATAATATTAAATGGATGATTTAATATTGAGAAAGTAAATTATAACTTATAAGATCTACAAGGGAATTAATTTTCAACGACACAAAAAATCCAGAAATCTTAAAAAATATAGAATAAATTAAGCATCTTTCATGGTCGGGAGACTATGATCAAAATAAAAGGAAAATTGGAAAGTGGAAAGCTTATTGGAATGGGAATGAATTACGAGATGTCGGTGGGTATTACTAGAATGGATTAAAGTAAGGTTTATGGAAAGAGTTATTTAAGAATTATTGGAAGTAATTATTAAATAATGATAAATTAATAGCTAAGCATAGGGATATGAAATTGGAGAATATTTCAATGATTAAAAAAGAGGGAGATGGAATTTTATCTATAAAAATAAAAAGATGTATTATTATTAATAAAAGGTAGTGGTTGTGGATCATACAAAGAGCAAGGTTTAAAGGAAGGGAAGTGGAAAGAGTTGAGTGATAAATTTTGGGAAGGATCATAAGTTACTTATGATGGTGAATATCAAAATGGCAAGAAAGTTGGCAAATGGGATATTTAGTATTAGAACACCCACGATAATAAATAGATGTAAGAATTATAAATTTATTTTAGCGGTGGTGGATTATATCATCACGGATATAATGAGATTAAGATTGGGACATGGATTGAAATAAGTAATGGGTTTTGGAGAGATTAATAAATCACCAATAAAGGATTGTATAAATATGGGAAAAAGGTTGGTTTATGGGATATTTGGTATCAAATCAATTTTGGTATAAAAAAATATTTCAAGATGTAAAAATTATGGGTAAATGACATAGTGGTGATGGATCATATGATGAAGAAGGAGACGAAATCAAAACTGGAAAATGGATTGAATTGAGCGATGGATTTAGAGATTACTCATAAATTATTCATAAAGGTAGATATAAAAATGGCAAAAAAATTGGTCGATGGAGAATTTATTGGAGATTTGATAAATATCATTAAATGTAAAATTATAACTTCTAACAAATTTGTTAGTGGTGGTGGTTAATATGATCAAGAAGGAAATGGAATGAAGATCGGGGATTGGATTGAGGAAAGTGATGGGTTTTGGAGGCATTCGTTTGTCACCTATAATGGTAAATATCAAAATGGGGAAAAGGTTGGTAGGTGGGATACAAAACATAATAAAAAATAAATGTACACATTATTTTTACAACAATTATTTTAGTGGTGGTGGTTCTTATAGTGAAAATGGTGATGGGATGAAGATGGGGAGATGGATTGAGTTAAGAAGGGGGTTTTGGAGAGATTTGTAAGTCATCTATGATGGTGAATATAAAAATGGAAACAAGGTAGGTAGATGGGATATTTTATTTTTAAAAGAAAATGAGAAAGAATTTACAAAGATGTAAAATGTTTTTACTAAACTTCTTAGTGGTGGTGGTTCATATGAAGAAAGTGGCAATGGTTATAAGATAGGGAAATGGATTGAATTGAATTATGATTTTTAAAAATAGAATTAAATAATTTATTGTTGTGAATACAATAATAATCAAATAGTTGGTAAGTAAGTGAAAGTTAATTTATAAAATGAAGTTGGTGAAACACAAAATGATAATTGAAAAAATAATATTTATTATTATAGTATTAAATAGACTTCTTTGTGTAATATGGGACAATTATTTGATGTTGTTTGAAGTTTCTTTTGCGCTTATTTATTTTGAAATTGGATTTTAATAATTTTTGGTTCTTTAAATCAGTGTTATTTTGTCTTTCTTTAATAAAACTTTCAATCAAAGACTTTTTATAATAAAAGAAAGAAAAGTTGTTATAGAAGATTTGTTCTAGAATTTTGAAGAATAAAACTTCTTTCAATTCTAATATAAAAATAATTGACTTTTTCTACTTATTAATTAATTGCATTTATCCTAGGTTTTTTTTTAATTAATTCTAAGATTTTTGCTAGTTTTTTTGAAATCATAAAATTACGATTAAGTCAAATACATTAAAATAAATTCAATAGAATAAAATATTTTTCTATTTATTATTCAGTAATCAAGCTGAATTAAATTTATTAGAATAATTTAAGTGAAATTTTTATAAGCAGTTTTTTTGAGAATTAACATCTAATCGAAATTAGAGCTTCACCTATATAATTATGGTATGTATAAAATGCATTTACACATTATTTATATTTTAATTCAAAGTTAAAATTAGAATGAATAAATTTGAAATCTTATAGTCATAATATTTTCTATAAATATTTTAAGAAGACTGTTTTATCAATAGATTTGAAATCGCATTAAAAAATTTAATAATATATTATAAAAATAGTCAATAAAAAGTTTATGTAATGAGAATATCAATTATAAAAAATATTACTCTGAAAATGGATTTAAAAAAGTTAATGTATTAATAGTTGATATATCAGTTTTTAAATAATATTTAGAGGGAAAACTAGTATATCAAGATCTTAGAAAAAAGAAGAATCGTAAAAAAAGTGAATAACAAACATCGTTCCATTAACAGGAAAATAATATAAATGACAAAATTAAAAGAATTGATTTTTCTATACAATATACTAATCAAGCTATTCAAATCTAGATATTCGTTCTCAATAGCCTATTGGAGACCAATTCCTCTCAACTCCAAATCAGGAAAAATATGTTTAATTCTTAAAAAAATAGTTATGATACTTTTTTTACTTTTAGTTTATAACATAGTATCAAGTAATAGAAATTCAATAAATTATTGAAAAAGAAAATGATTTGCCCTTAGCATATAAACAAACCCATCCTTATGATATGCCTGGCCCCTCACACGTGTTAATGTTCAAGGAAACTGTGTATTGAATGTATTACTGAACATGGGGTCGATGTTAAATATCTAGTTTCGAATGAAAGATTTCAAGAAATGCTGAAAGAAAAATTGTAAAAATTTCAGGATTAAGAGACATAAACAATTGGAAAATAGAAACAAAAATTAAAAAATTTACATTCTAAAATTAAGAGAAGTATGAAGGAACATTTGATGGATTTTTCAGCATCACTTAAAAAAATATACTAGGCTATCGATAGTTAAAACCAACTTTTCCTTAATCTTATCCATGAATGTGATAATTTATCAGAATCCTCATAAACCGACTTAGAACAGTTAGTATCAATTCTAGAAGGAACACCATTAGAAAACTGGAATAAAGCAAAAAATTCCTATTTGATAAAATTGGAAAATGTTAAATAATGGTGGAAATTAGAAAATAATGTTTGGATGAAAAAGTAGAAAAAATATTAAAAAGAAATTGATTCATTAATAAAGTCAGTAAATTAAAAAGAAGTTTATGAATAGAAAAAAGAATTTTATGATGCTTTAGCTTCCTTAAAAGATATAGATGTGAAAATATTTAATATAATAATTGAAAAGGCATTAAATGCTAAAATTTCAGATATTTTGGTATTTCTATCAAATGAATAAAATCAAAAACTTTTAGAATGGCAACCAGATAAATAAAGAGATATAAATTTAGGAAGAAATAACATTAATAAAATAATTAACGCTATCAGAAATATTAAAGAACATGAATTTAATTAAAATAACTATTCTACTGAAATCCATTTTATTACTAAAAAGAATCTCATTCAGAAAATATCATAAGATTAGATAATCATTGAATTTTTAAAATTTTTAGTTCACTTGACGGCAATAGACAATTAATTTATCTAATGTGGCTCAAATTCACTCCATATACTAGTTGATATGAAGGTTGATCTGACATAACAGTGTTTTTCAAATATTAGGATTAAAAATACTTCTTTAATTGGAGCGAATTTAGTAAGATGTAATTTTAATGGATCTGAATTTGACAATGTAGATATAAGTGGAATGAATTTGAATGGGGCTCAATTATTGAACTGTAAATGGAAAAATTTAAGAATTTAAGAGTCACATGATTTAGATAGTCATAGTAATTAGGTGTTATCAGCATGCTTCTCTCCTGATGGTACTACATTAGCATCCAGTAGTGAAGATTTCTCTATTTGTTTATGGAATGTTCAGACAGGATAATTAAAATTTTAATTAGATGGACACACTAGTGCTGTTCTTTCACTATGTTACTCTCCAGATGGTACTACAATAGCATTTGGTAGTGCAGATAACTTCATCTGTTTAAAGGATGCTAAGACAGGACAATAAAAATTTCATTTAGATGGACACGCCAGTGCTGTAATTTCTCTATGCTTCTCTCCTGATAATGCAACATTAGCATCTGGTAGTATAGATAAGTCTATTCGTCTATGGGATGTTAAGACAGGGCAATAAAGAGCATAGTTGATTGGTCATAGTAATTCTGTTCTATCTGTATGCTTCTCTCCTGATAATGCAACATTAGCATCTGGTAGTGAAGATCAGTCTATCCGTTTATGGGATGTTAAGACAGGGCGATAAAGAAAAAAGTTGAATGGTCATAGTAATTCTGTTCTATCTGTATGCTTCTCTCCTGATAATGCAACATTAGCATCTTGTAGTTGGGACTCTATCTTTATATGGAGTTTTGAGACAGGAAAATCATAAACATAATTTAATGGTCATTCTAAAGATATCCAATCAATATGTTTCTCTCCTAACGGCGCGACATTAGCATCTGGTAGTAGTGATAAGTCAATCTTTTTATGGGATGTTAAAACAGGATAAGTAAAAGCAAAATTAGTTGGTCATACTAGTACTGTATACTCTGTCTGCTTCTCTCCTGATGGTACTAGATTAGCATCTTGTAGTGAAGATAAGTCTATCCGTTTATGGGATGTTTAGGCAAGCGAAGAAATTTTATCTTATAAAAGTTATAAAGATATTCTAGCCTAATTTAAAACTCCCCAATTTTAAATAAATCCTCTACTAGAAGGTGTATTAATTTTTATTATTTTAGCATACACATTTATTACCATTCTTCTTATATCCAAGTCACCAATATTTTAAGCATAAGGAGCTCTAGTTTACAAAGGAGAATTCACCAATTAAAAAGGAGTTAATTTAATTTCTTTTTTGAAATCTAAAAGAAGTTTTATTTTGGAAAACTAATTCGACTTAAACTCAAAATAGGTTTGATAAATTGCAATTAAATTAAAAATATTAAAATTTATAGTCTATTTATTAAATTTTTCTATTTTCAAATCCCATCTATTTACTAATATTAATTTACAAAACCAGTTTATCTATTCTTTATCCTATAAATAAAATAAAGTTAAGTTAAGTGAAATGTTAAAAACGCTATTGAAATTATTATTAGAGTATTTTCGTAAAATATCTATATATATTCGGAAATGGAGAATGGATTACAATTTAAAGGTAATGTAATTAAAAAAAAAATGAAAGTTAATAAAATTAAGGAAAAATCAAAATAAAAATGGAAAAAATACAAAGAAAAATGTTTGTTAACTCAAAGGAAGAAAATAATCAAAAAAAAACAAAGGAAATAATACAAAGAAATAGAAAAAAGTATGAAAAATATTTCGTATGAGCATATCTAAACAAAAATTAAAATATGAAACCTATAAAAACGAAAGGAAATTAGTTATTGAAAGCAAATATGTGAAGATTAAATTATATAATTTCAAAAGTAATGAGTAAAAATTAGAGGAAAAAGTAATTTTTGCCTTTTTTCTAATTGCAATTTATATATATATGCACCAATAATGATATTGAATAATAAAAAATAATTAATATATATTATTTATTATTTTTTTTGTAAAATATAAAAAATTTATAATCTTATTTGTTGATTAATTACTAAATTATGTCAAAGCAAATCATATTCATATGTTCACATTATTATAAAGATTCATTTGGAATTTAAAGTGTTCCAAATTTTTCATTTCGAATGCAAAATGAAAAGTATTATTCAAATTTTTCGTATTTCGTTATATTATAAAACTTGCCAAGTTGTTGTTCTGAAATAAGAAAATAGTTTTTTTATACTAAAAGTTAATCATTTTTTATAAGAAAATAAGGTTTTCAGAAAAACAATTAAAAATTAGTTTTTTTTCTTTAACTTTATTTATGAATCTTTAATGTTAAAACAGTGAAAATTTGAATATTTGAGTAATTTATTATTAAGAAATTTTTAATAGATAATTTATTATTTCAGAATAGTAATAGTAGTATAATCTTCACTTAAAGGAATATATCTTTAAACATAATTTAATTTAAATCTTTCACTTCAATCTCAACTAAATTAAATAAAATTTTTTAATTATCAAAATAAATTATTATTGGAAATTCAATAAATACTGCTTTTACTCATTAAGGTGTTCTAAGTATTTAAGGATTCTAAATTGATATTATTGTAGGATTAATTAAACTATTGATAACAAAAAAATTATCACTAAATGTGATTTCAATTCAAACTAATAGAAGGTTTTAATATAACTGCATTCTTGTAAAAATTAAGAGCTAATGAAATAACAATCATTTTAAATAAGTTCTCAACAGAATCATATATAAAAATTTTAATTTGCTATTTTCCCATTTCACAAAAAGCTTGAAAAATAATCTTGTAGTATAGTAAAGGTATTATAATAAAATCAATTCAAATTGGTTCTTTGAAAGAAATCAACCTTTCAATTTTAATTGTTAATTAAAACAGTATTTTCCCTTTTTCTTAGTAAG